TTTGCTCAGGAACAGTCTTGCACAGTCGCAAGACTACCTTGCTGCTAGCGCCGAGGTCTGGACAGTCAACCACTACGGTGTTGTTCTGAGCGCCAGCAAACACTTCAATGTCATAACTGAACCCCGATATTCCACTCAGTACAAATGCCTTGTATCCCCACTTGTGAGGTTTTTTGGTGTTATACTGTTTAATTGATGATCTTGATTTTGTCGGAATTATTGGCTCATCTACCGCAAGATACTCCTCTTTTGGAATCAAGTGCAGCCGCGCGTTTAGCATGTCCAAAAGCGGTCTGATTTTGTGCAGCTTGTCGTGAGATGGGTGACCAATGGGGACAAATGTGGTGTAGTCGTTGACATGGAGGAACCGCTTGAGCTCCTCCCAACGGTTTCACGATAGGATGTCCGAAATAGCATGCTGCCCGATGTGACTGCTCCAATAAAGTCTCGTCGCTGGGAGCTTCACAATGGACATGTAGAGAATTGTTCCAAAGAACTGTTCAAGTTCTGCTCCAGTTACACACACTGGCTTGTTGGGCTCACACTGTACTGAGTACAGGTTTGTCTGATCGACTATGTGATCCACAATCTCAGGAGTAATAAAATATTTGAAGTATTGAAGAGGTGTGTCGAGTTCAGTAACTTCTCGTGGAAGTGTGGCACCACCGGAAAACTTCAGGGCCTCAGGATCATAGACGGATGTTTTTTCTTTCCAAGTTGGGATGTTATTCTTCTGCTTTTTGATTCTTGTGGATGGCAGTGTCACAGGAAGGCGGTAGGCCTCCCGAGTGACGGTGTGAAAGAAGGGGACCGCTGACCGAGCGATAGGGCCACGCTCTGGTGGAGAGTCTTACCAATGAAGAGAGACGGATGCGTGTGTGGGATATATAAATGACGTTTAATGCGACCGTCCGCCTTAGAGTTCTCTCTCGCACTGTCAGTCCTGGCGACCCCGCGGTTCCCGCACTCTCTTTGTTCCCACGGTAGGTTGTTGCCCCCTCGGTCTGACCCCTGACCCTGAATCAGGGTTCTTCTAAACACTAAGACCCGCCAGGCAATTCGAGCGCTGACGAAAAACACATTCCAGCAGCGAGCCGCCAGCTCGCCTCGTAAATCTGGGGCTGCAGAGACCTGTGTACCCCCCCCCCCCCCCCCCAAAACCACTCTAGGTTGTGTATAGTACCAAGAAACACCGAACATGCGGTCGCTTCAACGAAGCTCTCCCTGCGTAACCTGACACGCGCCTGGCCGCGAGCTCATCCGCCGAAGGCGGTCGTTTACTTCCCTGGCCATTATTCTTCCGCAGACGTCATCACGACCCCCGTCGTTTTCTGGAACAGCCGGTTTCTGTGACAGGCAGGAGCTCAGCATCATCGACCGATTTTGTATCAGATGATGAGAGGTCATGCAGGGGTACAGTTTCTTTCCCTGGTGGCACGTAAAGGTCGTCACCATCGTCAGACAGCTCACTGTCCTCGCTTTCATTTCCATTTCCAGGTGGTCCCTTGCCAAAGAATTTCCGAGAATTCAGAGGTCTAAGAAGAGTAAAACACGTACATACTTCAATTACAATATTCAACGTCACCATAGCAGACTGCATGTTGTGCCACATATGGCACAAAAATAAAAAAATAAAAAATGTTGCAAACAAAATATCAGGTCAGTGCTAACATAATATGCGTCTAGGGTATCCTAAACAGATTAGAAACAACTTCTCAATTATTGAAATAAGTCACATGACAAGAACTTACCGTATGTGCGATGAACTTTCACAGAACGAACCCACCTGCACGAAAGATTCGGAAACCGAAATAATACGGCTGTCAGTTTAAAATGCCACCGACAGATGGCACTACTTGCTTGGCGCACAAAGCGGAAGTATGTGCCATATCTGGATCCGCATGCAGTTTGAGCACAAGGCATAGCTGCAATATCTTATATATTCTTAACCGGTGTGTTCCATATATGACCCATTATGCGGTAAAGGGTTAAAACGTGCGATAATACACTACACCTTTTTATAAAGATGTAAAACTACAATATTCCTTCTCGTAAAAATGTAGTTACCACAGTACACTTCTTTTTCGGGGTGTACACAGTGGCTGGGGACCCAATAAAATGACTGAACAAATAATTTACACAAATGAGTCGCCGAAACAGCACGTCGGTACGTGGCCAGTGTCGAGGTGATTTTGGGCCGAAAACCGGCTCCAATATTGGCCTGATGTACGGTTTTGCGCTGGGCCTCGTCCCGACGTCCGGCAGGTAAGGGCCTACCGATGCAAATAAACGATTTATGCCTAATAGCACTGGCACCACTGATCTCTCAGTAGGCTGGATCGCGGATAGAGGCCTGTATAGCTGGGGTCCAGCGGCACCACCGGCAGTCATCGCTTGACACGAGCTAATGCATGCTATAGAAGAAACGGGAAAACTCAATTTTATTACATTAGTATGTTGTTCTCGACCACGAAACTTCTATCGTGCTGTCCGCAAATAACAGTTTATATTGTCGGCAAGAATATTAAACGCGTTAGAATACCACTCTTTTTTAAATAAATGTGTGGTTGAGGCTCGAGGGCGACTTTGTTGGGCGTCAACTGTGATGCGTTTAATCTGACAAGGGTTACCGAGAGTTACGGTGGAGTCATACGTGATCTCGAAGTCATCAGAGCTCAGCAAACGATAAGTTAGAAGGCCTTTACTGGGGACATTTGCATCGTTTTAACCGGTTGTACATAGTACTTCTGGTGAAAGCTTTTTCTTTGAACTGTTCTGAGGGCTTCCGTGATAAACTGAAACTCGGAGCGTGCCGTTCAGTCGCTGAACGTGTCATTTATTTAGCAACCGAAGCAAGCGGCGTCGGTAAAGTCAATGGTGCTCCGGCCTATATTTTTTTTTAATCGATGTTTGAACGTTTGACGAATGTCTACTTAATCTCCTTTGGCGCAGTATGGCCATAGCTTTGCGCCATAAAGCCCGTAATCAATCAATACTTGATATCCAAGCATCCGATATAATGTTCGCAGCACGTCATAAAATACTCGCCCTCGAGCACCGCGTACAAGCTTCCTACTTTTGCGTGTTTCCCCCTTGTACTTGCCTATATTGCCTGTTGTCAAGCGATGGCCGTTGGTGATGCCAGTGACGGGCTCCCGATCCGCGATCCAGACTTGCAGTGTGAGAGTTCTAATGTATTGCACCCGCGGAGTGCTGCACGGAGAACCGGCCTCGAACGAACTTGCCGAATGCACCGAGTGCAGACTGATGCTGTCGCCATAGGTGTAGAAAAGTACCGATCTCAAACCGAAACTAGCGCCTTTTTGTTCGACGTGGTGGGTGGGAATGCGAGAGTGCCAGTCGCTGCCATCGTTTATCTATAAACGTTGGTTGCTGCAATGTGGAACTTACATTTGCGATGACTTCCAATTAAGCAACTCGGCTGTCAGAGATATCTACAGACGGCGTAAGTTTCCGAAACCAGCTGACTACAAAACAGCATACAACTGAGACAATTCTTGGCACTATACGCGCTAGAGCTTGCTTCGTTTTAAGCATGGTATTATGAGTGAACCACTGAAAGGATTCGGCTTAAATCTGGTCAGCTGGAATATCTAGCAATACGTTTCGTAAGACTTTTTGTTTCCCTGGTGAGGGTGTTGAGAACGAGAGCTTTCTCAAACAAAATACGACGGGGCAAGATGGGTGCCGTTCCAATATGACTTTGCTCAAGCTTCGGGCAACGTCTCCGTGTTTAGCTTTCCCGGACGCTGAGTGAATGCGTCACAGGCTTCTGCTGTGGGAGCTTTGTCGACAAATGTTCCACTTTTCACTCGCACACGAATGATGTGAGATCTCGCGGCCTCTGTGTTTGTCCTGAGCCTTTCATTACATACTGGTAGGTTTCAGCGTCTGTACGGCAGCATAGCGACTCAAATTTTGCAGATAAAGCACGGGTTGTCGATTCTTCCCTTCGTGAAATATCGCACGCTCACAATTCAAGCTAGCGTTTGAGTTTGTGGCCCGCAGTACGCGATTTCAAGCAGAAAATCTACTTTTTCTTTCGGTTCCGCTGCGCGAATACCTGTTCGTAGCAGACGAACTCCCGTCGTCTGCTCTCGCTTCTCGTCTAAACGAGGCATGACAGGATCGAATTTCGCCCAACGGCGATACAGAGCCCAAAGACCCCCTTGCCAAAGACAGCGCACAGCGAGCGGAGAAAACGCTCGCTTCCCCGCGCTGTCTCGTGCTCTCCTGCACCGCCTAGGGATCGCGGGGGATTTTTCGTCAAAAGTTTCGAAGTTGAGCGCGCGCAGGGAGGGGGAAACTTTGCGGCGTTCTTTTGGTCACTCCCCCTGCTACGTCAGCAAGCAAAAAATGTTTTGTTCCACGAGTTTAGCGACCCAACACTCACGCAAGGAATAAATATCAAAAAGTCACGAGTAAGTGTTGCGCAACAGGCTCAATGCGCCAATAGTCTGTTGCAACGTAATATCGGCAGTAGAAGCTCTGCCTGCAATGCCAGCTTTTCTTTCATAACACTTCTGCGTCTCGTGAGAATGCTCTGCTAAAACACGTGAGAAGGCAACGAAGGAGCGCCCCACGTGGAGTTTCTTCAAATCCTGTGACGCAACAGTCATTTTTCTTTTCTATATTAATTGTTCACCATGGATGGTCGTATGACGTCTTTGTCGACATTATTCAGCAATAGAAACAGTGGAATTTTTTTCTAGCTCAATCCCTCAACTTCGTAGGGGGAACAATGCTCAAGCAGCAAATAGGGTGCGTCTCCACGTCACCTGAAGGCAAATTCCATAACGATTTCGCCTTCCTGCGTCGAGAGCCCGATGATGTTTATAAATCACGTGCATTTTACAATAAACAATTCAGTTGTAAGAAGTCCTCGGTGTCGTCGTGTGCTCTCTCTCTGTCATTGAGGCGCTTAATGTTCTTTCTTGTTACTCCCATTTACGCCAATTCGGTGAGAGCAATCCGCGATCATGGTTTTTCGGTGTGGTATTGGATGCAGTACAAGATCAACACTCAAAGGTAAGCACTTTTTTATGCACGATGATTTAGATATATCTTAGCATGCTTTAAACATTTTTGATACCCTTGTCATCTGACGAACTAAAAGGTGCAAGCAATGTCATCGAAATTAATCTGCATTGATCAATCTGTAGTGACCTTTTGTAGCAGGCAACTCGTGACAAGCGGGCTACTTTGGTAGAAATTATCAATATTTGTTGTGGAATGTTTTCTCGGTTCGAATAACTCTTCGTCTATAAATCTAAACGAATGTTGTTTTTAATTTACACATTCAGAAATAATAAGGATTTCACAAGAAATTAGTACAAATAAGTCCAGTGTTTACAAACGCCGTATAGAAATATAGACGTCGACGTTAAAAGATGTTATTCTTGGGATCTTGTCCCAAAACAAGTTAATTGTATTTAAATCCTAATGATTCTATAACACTATTGAGAACGCACTGACATTACCGTTTTCTTTTAGTGACAACTCTTACAATTTTGTTCCTTGCCCTGGGTTGCGAAAATAACGCTGATACGGAGCAAGATGTTATATGCGATATAGATTTGCTTAATCTGACGCGATATGAGGATGTAATGACCAAAGAAGATTTGGAAGATGCCGAAACAGCGCTTTGCATTTACATCGCAGAAGAGGCTGAAGAGGCAAGTTTGCGTTGGCTTCTTTGATTTTGCATATCATGAAATCGCTTGAGCGCGATCTTAAAATAGAATATTTCTAAATTGAGGTAAAACCTCGTACACCTACATATTTCCATTATAGTGCTCCCAGCAAAATGTATTTGTCTATAATTTCTCCAGATATAACCTGGTTACTTTGAATCAACTGTGATTAGAAAACGTTTGAGCAGCCCGGATATGATATATATTCGTACACTCAATAAGTGGTGCAGAAATTAAAAAGTTTGCAACCGGTAATGTTAAAAAAAAACTCCCAAACAAAAAGACTTTAGTCGAAGACCTCACTTTTTTTTTAAGTCAAACTTTCATAAATGCAGTTGCATTGTCAGGCTTTAAAGTTGACCTCAGCCCTTCACTATACACTATCTACGCTAAGCAAAAATGTTCCAGAAGCAGGAACCAATCGTGATAAAACAAACTACACCGACTTGACGTAACAAAAATAACTGTTTAATCAGACGTTTTCTATACCAGTAACACATCACCAGTGAGGTCAATGTGGCGGGAAGGGGAAGACACGACAATCAATTGTACTATCAAAAGAGGTTCAAGTACTTTTGGGGAAGTAGACCGCGGTTGGCGTTGTAGGCCGATGAATTACTTTGGATGCACCACAGCTCTGTATCTTCGTGAGACTCACCTTTATTCATGCATCGATATTGACAGATTCTCGAAATAAAAATTGTTATCCGTCGTTCAAAAATTGTCAACAAGTTCAGTCTGACTTTGGGCATGTGTGGCTTTCGCCACGTCTTGCTTGTGCTCCTTGCGAAGAGTAATACATTTTCAGTCGGTATCCCTAATGCACGACGAGTCAGAGTCCATAAAGTTCAATTTCTAGACAACCCAACGCTGGAACTCCGAGGGATGCTGTCTTTCGGTCTGGCTAACCAGCAGACACCGGGGCTTTGAACTGCTTTATGTAACTCCCATCATATGTTTAAATCCCGGAGGAAAGCTCACTACTTTCGTGTGGTCGAAGAAAAGCTCACCGGATTTTTTTACCAACCCGCGGAAAAGCTCACCTTGAATGAAATGTTTATGCAAGGTCGTCATAATTGTTTTAAAATGCAACCAAATCTACAGGTGCCTCTGATGCATGCGGTGGCCATTTCAAGTGAGGGTGCTCTGTTGCAACCTTCGTTCCGCTTTCATGTCGACCGTTTTCGTGTGACTATTTAATTCTGACGTAGCCGGGATGCAGAAAATATCAGCGTACTTTCTTTTCCGATATAACAAGAGATTATAATTTAAATCGTAACATTGTACATATTTTGGCAAATGTGTGAAATTTTGACAATGCGATCGAGGTAACGGCAGCCGAAAAATACTTCAATTAAATAAACATGGTTCAGCTCAGTGAACGCTCGGTTTATAGATCTTAGGTGAGCTTTTCTTTGCTTCGGCCAAAAGGTCGGTGAGCGTTTCTTCGCATCCGACGGTTTGGCGGTAAGCTTTTCTCCTGCGAGTTTATCTCTCTTGAGCTTTCCAACGGTTAGCTACTCTTCGCCGCCCCTATATTTGCCTTCTATAGAGAGTTGTTATTATGTAACTTATAAGCTAGTAATAAATCACAACATAAGTGTTTTGCAGAAGGGTTTGGATGTGGGCTAGTTGGTTGAACATGTTTAGGGGTTAAAAGCGCTAAAAACGACGGACGAGTAGGAGAGACACACACCACAGAGCGCTACTTGTAACTGGTTTATTATTGGAAAAACCCCACGTATTGCGAAACCAACAAGACACACATCCGATTCAGTTCCAACCGTCGCTAATCACAATTCTTACTCTTACACCATGCATGATCGTAAAAACGATAACTCTGATTCAAACAGGGTTGTCGATGGGGCACTTACACACGTACCCTCGTCACACTCGGAAATAAAAAACGCTTCCGTTATCTCCCTTGTCTTTCTATTTTTGTTTCGTGCCAAGATGGCGGTGCTGTCTAAATAGGGTACACAGTCACACCTACTGCAATTAACTGCGAGATTGCCAGAGGGGGCTGACCTCAATGACAGGGCATGTTCCCTCAGTCTTTCGTTCACGCATCGGCCCGACTGCCCCACGTATACCCTCCCACAAGACAGAGGAATTCTGTACACTACCCCCACTCTGCATCCTACGTATTTTGTTGCGTGCTTTTTCTGACGAATATCCAACCGTGTGTCACCTCGTTCCACCCTCCCACTTAGCTTGCTTAATTTCTGTGGAGCTGAAAGGAGAACCGAAATGCCATGCTTTTCCCCTACCTTTTTGATGTTATGGCTAACGTTATGTATATACGGTATCACCACTGGTCTTTTATCTGGCTTGCCCCTCCCTTCCCTCTTCCCTCCTCCACGAAACTTTTTTAGCAAGCCCTCTAACACCCCCTTAATGATCTCACAGGGAAAGCCTCCCTCCTCCAGCCTCCTCACTTGTAACCCGAAGCTTTCGGCTACGCTGTGCTGACAGGACTTCGTTAAGGCCGCGTTCAGTCAGGTTGTGGCGATCCCCCTCTTGATAATCTTGGAGTGGTTCGAGTCATAGGGCAAAACACCTTTTTTCGCCCTAGGACAGTAAGTCCAACATACATGCGACGGGAGAAGGGCCAACTTCAGATCCAAAAACTGTAAACAACCCTCCAGCGGGTTCTCACTTGTGAAATTCAAGCCCGAGGCGCTAGTTCTGAAAATCTCCAACATGTCTGACACAAACACTGACTCCCCTTTTTTCCGGAACAGAACAAGGTAGTCGTCCACAAATTTGAATACATGGACGACTCCTGCCTCCAATCTATTCTTAATGTCCCTATAACACTTTGCTATGTACAAATCACTTAACACTGGAGCCACACTCGCACCAATACACACACCTTGCTTCTGCACGAGCTGTACGTCTTTAAAAACAATATATTGTTTTTAAAGACGTACAGCTCGTGCAGAAGCAAGGTGTGTGTATTGGTGCGAGTGTGGCTCCAGTGTTAAGTGATGTGTACTTAGCAAAGTGTGATAGGGACATTAAGAATAGATTGGAGGCAGGAGTCGTCCATGTATTCAGATTTGTGGACGACTACCTTGTTCTGTTCCAAAAAAAGGGGAGTCAGAAAGGGCGGTGTTTGTGTCAGACATGTTGGAGATTTTCAGAACTAGCGCCTCGGGCTTGAATTTCACAAGTGAGAACCCGCCGGAGGGTGGTTTGCAGTTTTTGGATCTGAAGTTGGCCCTTCTCCCGTCGCATGTATGGTGGACTTACTGTCCTAGGGCGAAAAAAGGTGTTTTGCCCTATGACTCGAACCACTCCAAGATTATCAAGAGGGGGATCGCCACAACCTGCCTGAACGCGGCCTTAACGAAGTCCTGTCAGCACAGCGTAGCCGAAAGCTTCGGGTTACAAGTGAGGAGGCTGGAGGAGGGAGGCTTTCCCTGTGAGATCATTAAGGGGGTGGTAGAGGGCTTGCTAAAAAAGTTTCGTGGAGGAGGGAAGAGGGAAGGGAGGGGCAAGCCAGATAAAAGACCAGTGGTGATACCGTATATACATAACGTTAGCCATAACATCAAAAAGGTAGGGGAAAAGCATGGCATTTCGGTTCTCCTGTCAGCTTTACAGAAATTAAGCAAGCTATGTGGGAGGGTGGAACGAGGTGACACACGGTTGGATGTTTGTCAGAAAAAGCACGCAACAAAATACGTAGGATGCAGAGTGGGGGTAGTGTACAGAATTCCTCTGTCTTGTGGGAGGGTATACGTGGGGCAGTCGGGGCGATGCGTGAACGAAAGATTGAGGGAACATGCCCTGTCATTGAGGTCAGCCCCCTCTGGCAATCTCGCAGTTCATTGCAGTAGGTGTGACTGTGTACCCTATTTAGACAACACCGTCATCTTGGCACGAAACAAAAATAGAAAGACAAGGGAGATAACGGAAGCGTTTTTTTATTTCCGAGTGTGACGAGGGTACGTGTGTAAGTGCCCCATCGATAACCCTGTTTGAATCAGAGTTATCGTTTTTACGATCATGCATGGTGTAAGAGTAAGAAGTGTGATTAGCGACGGTTGGAACTGAATCGGATATTGTCTTGTTGGTTTCGCGGTACGTGTAATTTTCCAATAATAACCCAGTTGCAAGTAGCGCTCTGTGGTGTGTGTCTCTCCTACTCGTCCGTCGTTTTTAGCGCTTTTAACCCCTAAAATAAGTGCTTTGCTATCCAAGTTGAAGTTGTGCAAAAATTATTACATTCCCGGCTTAAGCTATGTTCTCTTCCCGAAGTCTATGTTGTATACAATGCCCGAGTCTCTTGATCCACACATAACACGAGGCGGGTCATTCAATGTGACTAAGGGGCCTAGCTTATTAACCAGGAAAACAAAGAAGAAAATCCTCATGACTGAAGAGGGGTATGAACTTGGGCTAGTTGGTGATTCATAGATTAAAGGGCAATCTGACAGTACACTGCAACAGACGTGGGCGTGTCCCGAAGTTTGGCACCACCACTATCTCAGCCAGAAACCAAAATAAAACTACAAGGGAGATATCCGAAGCGTTCATCATAATGAAGTACGTTGAAAGCACGTGTGTCAGGGCTCCATCGATAGCCTTGTTTGACTCGGAGGTGCCGTTTTTAAAATCGAGAAGTAAACGGTAGACAGATAAGCACCGGTGTGATGATGTTGCAGTTATTTCATCACATGTCTTGATTTCAAGGTGTGTATGTGTATCTATATATATATATATATATATATATATAAAACTGAGAAGAAAAAAACCCTTAGTGAAAAACAGCAACAACGGACGATTTAATCTTCGACGTTTCGGCCGGAGTCCGGCCTTCGTCAGGAAGAACTTTTACAGATGAACGCGGGTGGTATTTATACAATGCTACGGTCGAGTCCAAATTTCGGAGGGGTGACGGTTGAAGCTTTCGAGAGAGGGAAGCGTAGGGCAGTTCTTATCCGGGTGAAGAAGCTTGACGGTCGGTGCCAAGT